ACATGGGCCGCAAAATGCGGCGGTCTGTACTGCGGTGCTGAAGCTGCCAACGGCCTTTCGCACATCTCCTTTATGGAGTGCACTTCTTCGCTTGTCGAGCCCAAAGTCTGTTTGACTTCGGCCAACTCATTTTGCGAAAAATGCATCGCAGCTAAAAGCTCCGATGCCACATTTTCCATCTTCTGACTAAAAGCTTGATTTGTCTGATAGTCACAGTTGGTGATTTTGTCCAACGTCCGCTGTATTCCTCCCACAAGCTTCGATTCTGCTGCGCCCACCCGCTGCTCGAGGTTGTGGTGGTTGTCGCGGGCGAGCTGCTGGCTTTCCTCAAAGTTGCAACGCATGTTGCCACACACCTTTGCGAAGCTCTGTGCAAACTCCTTGTAGTGGCTGTCCTGGGCTTTCTGCATATTGACAATGTTGGCATGCAGGGGGCCAATCTTCTCGGACATGATACCGAGAATCTTCTCGATCGCCTCCACCCTGGTTGACAGTCGCTGCACGTCCGTCTTCACCTCCTGAATGGCTTTGAACATCACCTGGGCTGTCACCTGTGGTGTCGCGGCTGCAGCTGCTTTCGGCGTTCCAGTTGCTTTGGCCTGAGCGGTCGTCTGGGTGGCCGTCGCAGGTGTGGTGGTCGCCGGAGTGGTAGCTGTCGTGGTCGTGGGTGGCGTCGCTGTAGCATCCACGGCCGGCTTGGGGGCCGCATCCGATTTGGCCCCCTCGGCAACGCCCTTAGCCACCGGCTTGTCCGGCTCAACAACCTTGGTGACTTCTTTGGGTCCAAAACTTTGCGGCTGGGTAGTGGGCGACTTCGGAACTTGCTGAGGATCATCAGCCCTGGCTTCGACCACAGCAGCACTTCCTTGGTCCTTAGGTGCTTCTTTTCCACCCCATCGAGAGTGTCTCGATGGCTCCGCCTCCTGTTGCTCTTGCTTCGGACCAGAAAGTTCTGCAGCCTCACTCGGGACCGTGGGTTTCGAGGTGGCAGCACTCACAGGCCTTGGAGCAGGCGGTGTGAAGAGCCACTTCGCAAAGAGCATCACCAACATAGTTCCGAGGATGGTCCACACTTGATCCGGAACCACACTCAGCAAGGCTAGGGCCGTGCCCCACGTGCCTGCCGCTTGGCCCGATCCCTGAAAGGGAGCTGGAGGGCTAGGAGGGGCTTCACTTCCTCTCACCTGGGCCCACGTAGTATTCGCGGGGTTTGCAGCCTCGGCATCTGGGAAAGCCATGGCTTGCAGGGGGCGAGACGATACTACGCTGAGAGCTCAGTTTGTGCACAAACTCGCTGCCCGGAGTTGGATCTGGCGCTCCTACCAGCAAGAGCACTCACACTCCCCTCTTCCAGGCCTCGAACCCAAGAATCAAAAGTGATGAACCGAGGAATCAAAGAAAGATCCGAAGTGAAGCGTGACACAAGCTTCCCTCTGAGCATCTGGTTTAGGAATGCAATAAACGGACCGGACCGCCCTGCCCCCCCCCCTTTAGACCCGATCAAGGAACCTCACAAGCACAGCACTGGACCTGTCACATTCTAGTAGGAGCGTTCGCGTAGTATCGAGCAGACGTGAAGTCCTGGGTCCTGATTAGAAACAGGTAACCATCGGGAAAAGGTCCAAAGGTGCTTGTCAGGGATTCCTGGATCCAGGGCGGGGTTTTGTTTGGCTGGAGGTGACAGTGCTGCAGAAAATCACATGAAACTTCCTTTCTCTCCAAAGCCTGAACCTGACTCAACGATGACAATGGCACCTGATGGCAGAACATGTGGTGTGCAAAGGCTTCTTGTGGGAGGAGGCACAAAGCATCGTTATCCTGGAGTTCAGGGCATGCATTCCACAGTACATGTAAGGTATCCCATAACACGAGGCGCCTTGTAAGGAGGTCCTGACTAACGCACAACTGCTGCAAGTGGCAAGCTTGACGGTTGAGTCTCTTAGGGGGAATTAGGGTTACCGTCGTCCCCTCTGTCAGTAGGGAGCACCACAAGACCCACTTCGATCGGTTCGGCGAGCATACTTGTATGTGCTGCAATTCCCGACTGTATGGCTCATCAGGAAAAACCCTTGCAGGACGCAAGACCGCAAGGGATGTGCCTACGATGAGAAGCTGTCTGTCCTGCAGGTAGTTGCTGGGGAGCTTGGCAATCTCCGAACCCCCATAGCCCCATTTCCGAAGCCAAAGGGGCATAACAAGAAGCCATCCCTCCCGATCCTGCGCCAAGCTCTCAACATCCGCAAAGGGGGAGTCTCCCCGCAAAAGGTTCCAGGCGAGCTGCAATTTTCGAGGCAGGAAATCTTGCAGGTGTGATGCAGGAACTCTTCCGGATAGGACTCTGTAGGAGGAACACTTATTGAGGATGTGCCCTAGAGGCAGGTTCTGTCGCGACCTCAGTGCGTGGCCCCAGAAGGTCCAAAGTCTAGAAAGCCACACTTGCCCCCAGCGCGGGGAGTTGAACACCTCGCACAAAACCTTAACGGAACGGCGCCTGGCAATGGTGTTGGTCAGGAAAGGTTGAAGCGGGTCAACCTGTATCTTTAACAAGCTGAGCAGCAGGGTGTGTTTGAAGGCTTCCAAACTTCTCAAGGCATTGGAGCTAGGGTATACCGAAGGGGCACACCAAGCCCACTTGGAAGTGATGTAGGACTGGAATAGAGCCAACTTCTCTGAAACCGGGGTGTCCGGGTGATCGAACAACCTTCGCAGACCAAAGAAAGCGGCCGAAACCTTGGCAAGAGAAACTCCAAGCTGGCCTAGTGGGTTACTTTTGTACGTTAGTGGCACGCCGAGGTACAGCAAGCTCTCTGCTCCTTGCAGGGGTGTAGCTGCCCCTCTACCCCAAATACCTGGGGTCGTCCCATCTTCCCCGTCGAGGACTGCACATTTGGATAAATTGAGTTTCAATCTGATGGTACCAAGTGTGCTTTGAAGGGCTCGGATCTTCTGTTGCATGTCTGCGGCTGATGGAGCAAACACTAAAATGTCGTCTGCGAACAAGAGGGCATGCGGAAGGCAGAATCTTCTAAAGACCTCTCCCTCTTCCCTTTTCCATCTATCAGTGAGCCCTCCCACAAAGTAATCCAACACCCTGGAGAACAAATCGGCGCTGAAGGATGTACCTTGAAGGACGCCACGGTGAAGACACTGGTGCCAGGTACGAGAGCCTATCTGTAATTTGATGCTCGTGTTTCTACACAGCTGCCAAAGAGACAACGCTTCCCTGCTGGGCATCGCATCGACGAGGTAACGCCAGATAGCATGATGGCTGAGGGTGTCAAAGGCTTGGCTAATATCGAGTTTGGCGACCAGTAACTGTTTGCCAGTTGACTGACGGTAGAGCTTCATGGTGGCCTGTGCGGCTGTGATAGCTTCCAGAGCCTGGGTTCCGGGCCGACACGCGTGTTGGCCAGCTCGATAGTCATGTAGTGTCAGGCGGAGCCGCTTGACCAGTATTTTACTATATAACTTGCCGAGGCACGGTGTTAAGCTGATGGGTCGTAGGTCCTTGACTTGAGTAGGCCTAGACACTTTGGGAAGGAAGCAAATCTTACCGACGAGCCAGTCCTGGGGCACAGGTTTGTTGCCGAGCAAAATGTCCGTGAAGAAGGAGGCCAGCTTACCTTGTGAGTCTCCTTTATGGTAGGAAGCAATGGCCCCGTAACAGACCGAGTCCAACCCGGAAGAGGTCGAGGGTTTGGTTGCAGAGAGGGCCTCCGCGATTTCCTCGTCTGTGATTCTCTCTGTGTTGGCATTTTGGTGCCTCTCTAGCATGGCAGTCTGTTGATCAGGGGAGACATCGGGCTCTGTTCGGGGTCTAGAGTACTTAGTTTCGTAGAATGTCCGAAAAGCTCGGAAGGCCTCTTCTTCCCCGCCTAAGCGCTCAATAAGGCTTCCATCTGAAAAGGTCTGGCTTGCGCTTCTCCTAAGATGCGCAATGGCCGCCCTGTCGCCTGAACGGGCTGCATGCAAAAGGTCGAGTTTATGTTGTTTCTGGGCTTCGTTTCGGGCCTTAGAAACCTCGGATGCCAGCCTGGTTCGCTCCTGAAGGTCCGAGGCCAATTTACGTTGCCTAATCAGTTCGAGCACTTCAGGGGGGTCCTTGTACCTTCGATTTGGAAGGCGGGCTCCATGGTGACGACAGACCCTAGCAAACTCATCAGGATCAAAAGGGGTCTTGGGGTCCTGAGCTAGCACTTGAAGTGGTTTCTCAGGGACACTCCATCTTCCACAACCGTGCCTTGGTCTTCGGGGTCGCATCTTGAGGCCTGACCTACCGGTGAAACATGCTACTAAAGGATTGTGATCTGAAGGAAGTGCAGTGGGCAAATCAGGGCGAAGGTGAACAAGTATCTCCATCATGGGCCATCTAAACAAAAACCAATCAATGGTACTGAATTCCCCCCTGGCCTCCCATGTGGCCCCTGCATGCATGTTGAATTCCAGTCCGCGGTGTCGGGCAAGGAACTGAAGGCGGGACAGTGCGGGAAAGTGTGGGTTCGAATTCAAAGGATCTTGGTTGGCATCGAGTCCCAACATGACAACATCATGAAACCTTGCTTCGGCTAAGATTTCGTCGAGTCTAGCCAGGCTCGAAAGCCAACATTCCTCGGCGTCAGGGCGTTGCTGGTGAGGAAGATGGGCAGTACCCAGCCAAAAGGATCTACCCATAGCCCTGCCCTGAACGAGGAACCCCGTGCCAAACAGGTGTCGCACAGAAATGTGGATGTCAAGGTCTTCTCGGATCAGTATTGCTACACAGCGGTGTGATTGGGGTGCTTGGTACACGTAAGCCTTATACGAGACGTCTGAGAGTGTGATGAATTCAAGGGTCGTCTCCCCATCGGGGAGATGAGAAAATCCTCCAACTTCCTGCAGGCAGAGAAGATCAAAAGGGTCCTCAAGTCTGTCAAGAAGATTCTTCAAGGCTGACAAATGTTTCCCATGCAGGTTCCAAGTCATTGGAACGAATTCCCTAATTTCCTTTGCAACGTTCTTCGGCTTCTGGTTGGCTTGGTGTGCTAGTCAATCCGTTAACTCCTGCCTAACCTGATCCGCCGGCAAGTTGAGAAGCTTTGCAAACTGGTCTGAATCAACCCACCATTCGGTTTCATCACCAGCAGCATTGGTCAACATCACCGAACCATCAACAGGCTTCTTCCAAACATGCCAATAAAGGACCTGTTCTCCCTTCAACCAAAGTCGCCCTCGCCAGTCGAGATCAATCTGGCCTTCGTCAAGGTAACGCTTCGCATAGTCCTTCATACTAACAAGTGCACGGATCTTCTCCCTGTCCTCCTTGGATCTGTTCCTCGTGACCCAAAGGCGCTTTGCCTGCTGTCCCTGTATCCCACTAGTGTAGTCTGCAAGGGCCTTCTTTAGAGCTTCAAGAGTCAGAGTCTGGATGCGACGTCGTTCCGCTATGCTACTGCTCGTGAAAAGTAGCTCTACTCTTGCAAACCTGCTGCGCACAAAGGGTACGTGGATGTTCAACAACAGGGGTGAGGCTTCAATCTTCGAGAAGAGATCGCGGACTTCCTGCTCGATTTCTCCTCTCTTCGCATCATCCCAGCCACCAATGACGAGTTGTAGGTCATCAACCTGAGGTCTGCCCCCTGCAGTGCTTGCGGTCGTCGATCTTGGGCTCTGGTCGGGAAGGGGAGGGGCCGGGCTAACCGAGCGGGATCGCGATTTCAAGTTTCTAACTTCGGCCTCCATATTACTCATGCGGTGTTGCATTTCCTTGTGGGCTTTCGCTAAATCTTGTTGCTGATCGTCAATGCCTTGAACCTGAGAAACTACATGGGCCAGATGGGACTTGTGCGACTGAAGTTCACTCATGAGTTCCCGTTGACCCCCAACCATCATATCTCTCAAATCATGAACCCAAGCAGGCGGCGATTGGGGGTCTAGGTTGTAGAACTCAGGCGGACCACCTGTGCGGGCGGGAAGGGCGGAAGAGGCTTCTTTGGGAACAGCCGGAGCTGAAGGCATGCCTCCTCCAAACAGCGGTGTAGGTCCTAGGCCCTCGCGGACTTTCCAATCTATCTTTAGGCCCTTTACCTTCCTTGCGACTCCCAGCCCCCGAAACCGAAGCAGGTGCTGCCGTAGTATGAGCATGAAGAACAGGCGCTGCAGCAGCCGGAGCCGCACTCAGAGCATTCTGCTGGTAAGGGTTCAACCCTGGAAGAGGAAGTACCAATCGGTCGTTAGGGGCACAAGCAGCAACAGCAGCCGCGGCATCTCGCAAAGCATCAGTCTGCGCTCTCAAATCCTCCCTCACCGGTGCAGCAGCAAGGTCGGGCCTGACCGAGTGCAAGGGGCTCTCATCCACATCAGAGGGAGGCATGGGCTGGGTTTCATCATCCATGAGAGCATCACCCATCGACACAGACAATCGACAGGGAGGGATGGGGGTAACTCAGCGCTTCGGGAGACAGCGTTTTGAGCCGAAAAACTTGAGCCGTAGCCATTTGGGGTTCAGGGTTTAGGGTTCTAGGGTTAGCCGAGACTCGGCCGGGACCCGGCCGACCCTGAACCCTATAGCCTGAAATTATGTCCTCTTTCGTAGCCACCTCACAATGACCGTGACGTGGCCGAGACCATGCAATGTGTGAGCCGAGACATCAAAAAAGGCCATTTTGCGACCCGCGCCATCCGCGCTTAGTCGCATCACCCGTGTTTAGCCACATCAGAAATGTCGAAACCCCATGGGCACACGGTCCGGATGTGGGTTTCAACACATGTAGCGAAATTAATGAAATCGCCGCGTGCCACAGGTATCCACAAGTATTCGTGTCCATTTTGCAGTCACACCACGTCGTTTCATGACATCAGAAATAACAAAACCCAGTTGCACATGGTCCGGGGGTTTCAACACATGTAATGACATGAATGCAATGGCCGCGTGCCGCAGGTATTCATGCCTATTTTGCAATCACATCACCTCATGTCATCGCATCAGCAGTAGCGAAACCCCATGTGCACATGGCCGACGGTTGTGGGTCTCGACACATACAGCGAAATGAGGCTATGTGGAGCTGCTCCTGCCGAGCCGCTGTCTTGTCACGACATAATCAATATAGACAGTCTCGGGTTGTGTATTTTGCAGTAGTACTTAAGCCTGCGCGACGCCCGCGCAGGCTTGTGCGAGCACCGTGCGACCTCCAGTTATCACACATGTATTCTACTTGGTGCTGGTCGTAAGTCGCCTCACGCCGTCGAAAGTCGCGTTCGAGACACACATCCGCGGCATCACAGCACATCAAAACCGGGCAATCCCCATCAAGACACTCGATTCCACAAGCACCCGTTCGAGATACAAGTGGTATCACGGCACATCGAAATACCAGCCATTCCCCATGTAGATGCTGAACTTCGTAAGCACCAACTCGAGACACAAGTGGCATCACAACATATCAAAAGTAGCCGTTCCTTATGTAGACGCTATATTCCACAAGCACTCGATCGAGACAGACCCAGACAAACACTCAGACACTCAGACAGACAGACAGACATTTTTGACTTTGACGCTTTGCGTAGTCAGAGCTACAGTGAACATAACCCGGCAGGTGCGTGGCCATGTCACAACGGTTGAATACTACGGTCATGGAAAGTTACCCTGTGGCGGATTGATGTGGAAATCGAATCGCCACTTCCGGGCTGAACGTTGCATAAACAGTTCTTGTAGGTGAGCGCGTGGGTCCGGCTCACAGACATGACGTACACGGTAGGAAATGCCTTTGGTAGGGCGACTGTAGCCNNAGGCAGACAGAGACAGACAGAGACAGGCAGAGACAGACAGAGACAGACAGACACAAACAGACAGACAGACAGACAGACAGACAGCGAGACAGAGAGACAGAGAGACAGAGAGACAGAGAGACAGAGAGACAGAGAGACAGAGAGACAGAGAGACAGACAGACAGACAGACAGACAGACAGACAAACTGACTGACGGACTGACTGACGGACTGACTGACTGACACACACACNNTAGATCAACCTTCGCACGTTTCCTGAACCATTTCAAGGCAGCTTGAAAAGTGCGCAGATCTTCAGCAAACGTGAATGCCTCTAGCGGCAAATCTTGTGTGCATCCGTCCCTCATCGCATATGCAGGTCGCTTGCCATCTCGGAACCGGTTGACATTCACAGGAGGGCGCGTGCCCGTGGTAAAGATAAAATTAACGAGAAGTTCGGTCATTGATGTATTCGCATGCAAATGGCTGTGAGCCCACTGCAAGCCGTTGGCCCATGTCAACAGGGCAACGGCAAACTCATACGAGTACGGGCAAAGCCTCAAAGCCTCATCATCAACTAAGGCGACATGCGAAAAACATGCAGTAGACACATCCAAGACCGATACATCAAACGGTGTTGAACCACGGTTGCCAGCTGTTTTGGCAAACTCATGGCGAGCACACTGGATCAAAAAGGCATGGAACTTTTTGACAACTGTTCTTAACTCGTCTTGTTTAGCATTCATTACACGCAGTTGGTTGAACGAGAACAGTGCTGAATCACGCGCCGCACGCTTTGCTGCAGCATCTGCAATGTGATTGTAATGCCGGCACTTGTCCAAAAAATCTGGGAGCACTGCCGATAAACTCACATGAGCTTTAACCTTCAAGATGGACACCGACTGCGCCGGTCGCTCAACTACTAAGGAATCAAACACCACCCACAAATCTTCATGCTTCATCAGTGGTGGGCGGGAGGCTTCTCGCAAACAGTCCAGCCGAACACCAGCAGCTTCAACAGCATACTGGCAGTCTGAGTACACAGTGCAGTGCTGAGACAATTGAAGGGCAAGTATGA